ATATATATACATACGTAAAACTAGTGTGTATAAGCAAATATGTGAAATCTGCGTATATATTTATACATATAAAAGATATATCTAATGAAAAAAAAAATTCCCATTTGAAGATACCTTTCATTGTACATATCGTAAATGCTGTTTTCAATTGTGCGTAACACAAAAATGAGAAAATCATCGTTACTCATGTCAGCGGTCTCTGATAATGTATGATCGTTTTAAAAAAATTTCGGAACAAAAATAAGAATTAATATTATGAACCATTTGCGTTCTGTGAAGTCGACGATATTGCATGTATTAAATAATGTCTAATACAAAAAAAATATTCATAGTAACCAATGAGCTCCTTTATGAGGAAAAGCGCTTGATAACCGAATTTTAATTTTTCGTTTTGATAAAATAAATGTCTTTTATTTATGATATAAACTTTTTATCAAAATTATTTTGCTACCATCCACATTTAAATGTTCATGAAAAAGTTTTTTCATTCGACGTAAGCAAAAGTGCGTAAAATTCAACGTCCCGATATAACTTGCAGTACAATACTTTTCTAAAACGTGCGAAAAAAATTTCAGCTATCCTCAAAATACGTAGCATAAATAACTAAGCATTTATGTATGTTAAGTTGCCGAAAAATTTTCTGCACGTTGGATCTACGTATATATTTTGTCGTCATTCCAAACGCATTTTAATCAAAGGATAAAGTAGTAAATTTCTGTCTGAAGCCTGTTTTGCATGACATGTAACTTCGAATTCCTTGATCGAAGTCGCCGAGGCGTTCGTTCCTCAAAGAAACAAACAACAAAATATCACCCTTGTACATAAGAATGGTAATAATAATAATATTAATAATAATAATGATAGTTATAATAATAATATATACTCTCCTTTGCGAGGCAAGCGCACAAGTCGTTGCAAGTATTCACACCGAAAATGTATTTTAATCTTCCCTTCTCCTCCTAAGCAAGAGATGTATAATAAATACCCTTAGTTTTTTCTTTCCTTTTTTTTTGGTTTTTTTTTTCTTTCACTTTCAATAAAAAACGATGGAGGAAGATTAAACGAGAGAGTATGATTAAAAAAAACAATGCAAGACTGTCTATTATTAAAAACATTTGTTTTGTCGTTCTTATGTTTTATGTACGTCGTTTATTTGTCTGTAATTTAAAAATTGCTTGGCTCGTAGACCGAGCGGAGATGATTGATTGGAAAGAACAAGCGAAAATCTTTCTCTTTCATTTGTCCATTTTTACTTTTTAAATATACATAGATGAATCGTCACGCGATGGTACAACACCGTTTAAACGGTTAGGTGGTTAAATATTCTTCCGTAAACGTGTATACATTAAATGTAGGGATATCTCCTTTTATTTATACTGAATATATATCTGGAAATGCGAACCTTCATGATTTTCTTTACACTCTTCTTTTATAGATAATTTATTGTTTATTGTAATTAGTCAATTTTTTTTTTTTTCTTGGTAATGCGTAGAGTGACAATATGTGTCATGAAAAAGAGATAGAGAGAATGTAAGAGAGATATAGTAGGAAAATCATAAAGTAAAGAGAAACAAATCTTTTGTATTTAATTTGTTTAATAAAATTCGACAAATTACGCTGATTACCGTGACTTTATTATCCTTTTTCCTTAAAATATTGTTATGTCTACGATTATAAAAAAATTATATCACATGCTTTCGACACAAGCCGTATACTTGTATACTTTCGCACATTAACTCTGGATACAGACATATATTCTGGTATTTTTTTCCTCGACAGATTATTCAACTGTGTACATGAGAGTTGTAGTTACATTAATAAGATTACTGACACGAGTATTCTTGAATAAATGGATTGTTTTAAATAAACATCACGTTGTTTTGAATTTTTTGTAAATTTAACTCACCCCGTCATCGTACTAATCGAACATCTTTGGTCATTGAAGCGGTGGCTGCTTTATTGGATTATAAAAAGTTCTTGAGATTTTTTACTTCATGCAGGCCAAAAGAATTACCGCACTATTAAAAATGGTTTTAGCCGCTATTGTGTCCCCTTTTCCTTTTTTTCTTTTTCCATTTAAGTCTTTAATGTATTATCCTTTGAGTCCTCTTTCTTTACCTCTTCTATTTTGAAGGAGTTATATTCTCGTTTTCAAATGATTACAGTAGTTTGACATCAGCTATGATGTGCCTTCGTAAGAAGCAACGCACCAACCTTTCTTTCCTGAGAGATATGTATCAAAAGTATCATATCAATTTCACTTCGATGTCAGTACGATAAAAGTTTGTGGTGGTTTTTGAATAAAAGTACATAAAGTAAAACTTGAATTTATTTACACATTTATCGGTTTATGAGACCGATTGCAATTACAGTCACAGCTTTAAGAGAAAGTTCATATTATAGAAAACCACAGATAATTTCATGAGAACATGCAAACACTCCTGAAGAAATAATATTGTTAAAAAAATTAATATCTAAAATTACTGGTATTTCATTAATCGCGAGAGTTATTGTCGAATGTCGTCTGGTATATTGTATAATCGATGGTAATTGGACAGTAAACCGGAGAAATTCATTTTACATATTGGCCAGGTGCATGTCATGCAGCGCCACCCTTGGTGTCAAAATCATGCAACCGCGGGCACCCACATTACACGTGAACAACATACACCGATGCACACTTTTAGTAATAATTAATTAACTAGCAAAAAATTAGTGTATTTATTCATCTGATAATGGATGTTATCATAAAAACAGGCTTTAGGAATATCACACACTAGATTTGTTTTAACTCTGAAGCCTTAAAAAAAGGTAAACAGTTGGTTAAAAATAGTCATGTGTGCGATGTTACAGAATTTCAAAGTGGTGGAGTTAGCAATTTGACAATTGCCGTCGTAATAAGGCAGACCTCGATCGGTAACGTCAGCTCCGTACAAAGTTGACCTGGATGTACGTTTTATTTAGATTATTTTGAAAATTGTCTTAGTTGCAATGCACATGAATATTACTTTTATTTACAGTTGAATAATCATTGAAATTTATGTAATTTTACTCCATTTGTCTTTGCCCTACTGTTACACTGAACGACACAGCACTTTCTTACACCCACATTTCATAAACGTTTAAATAATAGAAATCACAATGATCATGTCTTATTTCGTATATTTATCTTTCTTTTTGCCGTCTGCTTCTGAGAGTGTGCTCTGGATCGAAAACTAACAAGGCCTCATTAATAAGTATGTTGTTACATTCAAACATTTTACAACCGTTCTTGGCACCACATAGTTCATTTTTTTACATTAGTGTAACTGCAATTTCATAATATTGATACTATTTATGCATATGTGATGATAACATCTGTAAATTTGACGAAATACTGTTATTCTTTCCCTCAATAAGCAAAAAATGACAGTAATTTGGTACCCCAGGTTTCCTATTTTCGCCACTACGCACGCTGGCGTCGACTCATCTATCCCCTCCCATCACTTGCACCTGGCCAATACTATCACGTTTCAAATCCTTTCAGTAGACAATAAATCATAGTTTCAATGCAGACTTTCTCAACTTATAAGTTTTGTTTTAACGCGCGTGTGTAAGATACACGTAAAGGTTTTCAGTGTGTTTGCGTCTCTTCACGTCACAGAGTCACAGAAACAATTATTTTTAAATTATTTCCTTGACATTTTGATGCTCTTTTTAAATATCATTACTGTTATTTGTACAAGTAAACATTTGCAACCATACACTGTACCTTTCTGAGGCAAAGAAAGTTACATTAGATTGCTTCAAAAAAAAATTGGCAAAAAACAAAATAATCGGTTGTGGGAATCTTGCTAAAATGGCAATAATCGTTATTAAGGAAAGAAAAAAGATCATTAAGATATACCTTGCAAACGCTAAATGGTATAATAACCGCCTCTTGATTATCCAACGAGTCTCTACTGCATGTACATAAATACGGCATCATCTACAAATCTTTACCGGGTACAGCAACAGCAACTGTAAAGGTAGATCTAATAGCGCTCTTGACGTAAAAAAAAAAAAAAAAAAAGAGAGAGAGAGAGAAAAGAAAA